ATTATCCCTTTTTGTTCAAGATTCAGTTTGTAAAAAAATTAACGATTTATTTACTAAATTTGTTTGGAGGAATAAACATCATCATTTAAGAAAGGAAGTTCTTCAGGGTCCAAGGAATGAGGGTGGCTTTGAGCTCTTGGACTTTTTTGATTTAAATTATACTTTCAAAGTAAAATGGCTCAGAAACTGTTTACTTAAATCAGACTCAATATGGTTTTTTATACCATATAATATTTTTAAAAAGGTTGGAGGTTTACGCTTTTTGTTAATGTGTGATTACTCGACTAGCAAACTGCCTGTGGCATTATCTAATTTTTATCAACAAGCTCTCAAGGCCTGGAAGTTATGTTATGTGCATAACTTTTCTCCACATAAAGCAATCTTGTGGAATAATGTTTTTATTACAGTTAACCGGAAATCTCTTTATTTACAGAGTTGGATGGATAAAGGAATTTATTTTTCATCTGACCTTTTTGATCAGTCAGCTGAGTTGCTTTCTTATGAAAATTGTATGAATAAATGGGCATTTCCCATTAAATATAGAGAATATTATTCTGTGATAAACACCAACCCACCGGTTTATTGATGTTAATGAGAAGCCATATGTTGTGCCTTAACACTTGTAGAATTGAACCCGTTCTTAATTTAAATGGGGTGGACATTAACAGTAAAAAATGAACAAATACATTTATTAGAAATCTATTTTATGAAAAGAGATCTATTAAGCCTAGAGGGAAATTTTTCTGGAACGTTTGTTTTCCAGAGATTATTTGGAGAAAAGCTTGGCTTCTTCCCTTTCGGTTTTGTATAGCTAACAAACTTCGGGAAATACATCTGAAAGTACTTCATAGTATTTATGTTAGTAACTATACTTTAGCAAAATGTATGGATATTGATGAAAAATGTTCATTTTGTTCAGATCAGCCAGAAAGAATTCTACATCTTTTTTTTTTATGTTATACCATTCCAAAAAATTCTGGGAAGATTTATCTACATATATTCAACAGAAATCTGCTTACAATTGTGAATTAACATCCAAAAATGTTATCTTATATTTTGAATCAAAAAATGCATCTGTCAATTTTATGATGAATCTAATGATTTT